ATCCAGTTATCACAATGGACATTTGGGTTGTTTCCGCTTTTTGCCCATTGTGAAGAATGCTGCTATGAACACAGGAACACATGTATGAGTTGCTGTGTGGATGTGTGTTTTCATTTCTCTTCGGTATATGCTTAGGAGCCGAGTTGCTCTATTTAGCCTTTAGGGACTGCAAACCCTTTTCCCAAAGTGGCTGCACAGTTCACATCCCCACCGTGTGTGGGTGAAGACTCCAGTCTCTCCCACCCACCCGTTACTGTCTTCTTCCTTAGCCATTGCACTTGGTGCAGAGTGGCATCGCATCATGATTTTGATTTGCATTTCCCCATGACTAAATATGTTAAATATCTTTTTATGTGCTTGTTGGTCATTTGTATATCTTCTCTGAGGAAAATCCATTTAGTCTTTTGCCCATTATTTCATTGGGTTGTCTTTTTAGTATTGAGTTGTAGGTGTTATTTATGTATTATGGGTACAAGTTCCTTACCAATATCTGACTTTAAAATGCTTTCTCCCATTCTGTGAGCTGCCTTTTTACTTCCCTGATGATGTCATATGATGCACAAAGGTTCTTCTTCTTCTTCTTCTTCTTTTTCTTCTTCTTCTTCTTCTTCTTCTTCTTCTTCTTCTTCTTCTTCTTCTTTTATAAAGTCCAATTTATTTTATTTTATTTTTTGTCATTTATGCTTTGGTGTCATATTTAAGAAACCATTACCTAACCATAAGACATGAAGATCCACTTCTATGTGTTTTTTTTCCTCCTAGGAATTTTATAGCTTTACCTCTTAAAAGATGCATTTTGAGTTAATTTTTGTGTATAGTGTATATTCTTTTGCCTGTGGATATACAGTTGTCCCAGCAACAGTTGTTGAAAAGACTATTCTTTCTCTATTGAATTATCTTGTTACTATTGTCAAAAACCAATCAATAAAAATGAGTGTATATTTCTAGACTCTGGGTTCTGTTCCATCGATCTATTATCTGTCTTGATTACCATAGCTTGATATTAGGTTTTGAAATCAGAAAGCATGAGTCCTCCAACTCTGTTCTTCTTTTTCAAGATTTCAAGATTGTTTTGGCTATTCTGGGTCTCTTGAATTTCAATGTAAATTTAGGATTAGCTTGTCAATTTGTGCAAAAATTCCAGTGGGGATTTTGAGAAAAATAACACTGAATTTGTAGATTCAATGGAAAGTATGCCATCTTAATAGTATTAATTATGTCAATGTATGAGCAGCAGATCTTATTATTTACTTATATTTAAAATTTTTCTTTCAGCAATGTTTTATATTTTCAGTGTACAAATCTTTTATTTCCTTGGTTAATTTTATATCTAGGTATTTAGTTCTTTTGCTGCTATTAAAAATAGGATTGTTTTCTTATTTTTTTTTATTACTCATTGCTAGTATTTAGAAATACAATTGATTTTTGTATGCTGATCTTGTATATTGCCACACTACTAAACTCACTTATTAGTTCTAAGCGTTTTTAAATAAATTCCTTAGAATTTCTACGGAGCAGATTATGTCTCTGTGGGTAGAGGAAGTTTTGCTTCTTCTCTTACAGTGTGGTTTAGAAGGAGCAGCTTTACATTTTAACCTCCTTTGCTGCATACTTGCTCTCTCCTTCATAAATTCCCCAGCATTTTAATAAGTATTTTAAACTTGTTTTAGAGAGAGAGGAGAGGTGAAAGAATGAGAGTGAGAGAATGCACTTATTTATGTACCAGAGGCCCAGTGCATGAAAATTCATCCACTGGGGCGGGGAGAGGGGGGTCCTTCAGCCCAGCCTGCCCCCTCTCACAGTCTGGGAGCCCTCAGGGGCAGAAGGCCCCATCACACCTCTGCTGCTGCTACTGCCGGCAACACAAGCCTCGGCTGGCCCTGGTTACCTGAGCCTTGGGTGCCCTGGGCGGCTGGGCAGCTGCCATCTGAGGCTTGCCTGTACCTCGTGTCAGCCCTGGGCAGTTGCGGGGATGAGGGAATTGGAGGACTCTGGAGGCAAGCACGTGGCAAAGCCCCAGTGGGACTGAGGGGACTGGGTGCTGCCATCTTGTGGCTATGGGTGCTGCCATCTTTGAGGACGTGGCAGTCAATTAGCATATTCCCTCCTTATTGGCTGTGTGTGCCGCCATCTTTGAAATGTCAATTAGTATATTTCCTCTTTATTAGATAGGATTCACTGGTTGATTCTTGTATGTGCCCTGACATTGTGAATAATGGAGATAAAACCTACAACCTTGGCATATCTGGATGATGCTCTAACCAACTGAGCTATCTGGCCAGGACCCCACCATTTTTAAGTGGGATTAGAAACATCCAGTGTGAGCCATTTGCAAGAGCATTGTGAGGATCAGATGAGTTCATACACATTTAAAGTTGTTGAGACAGTGCCAGGCAAAGGTAAGCATATGGCTATTATTGTCAATGTCATCATTGCAATTTCTCACTGGACCCTCCTCCATCTAGGCTACCCATTACCTACCATGGGCATGTCGGGGTGTTTGGAGGAAAAAATATTTTTAAGTAAAAAGATACAGTTCTTGCCTTCGAGGAGTGGGGAGAGTACAAGAAAGAGGAATGCTGAGAGCTGTGTTGGATTCCTGGCCCACGGAGGTGTCCAGGCCAAGCACGATGGAGGGTTAAATCTGCACCAGACACAAAAGTCACCGTCACATCCTGGAATGTGCACAGCACGATGGCTAACACATGGTAAAGGCTGAGTGATGTCAAACAAATGTTATGACTGAACTTCACCTGAGAAGCCACCTCCAGCTTTGTACCTGAGATTCTATGTCCCAGATTCTATCCATTTGGTAGCTTTTCAGTTTCTGTGGTTCATTATCACAAACCTGTGTTCTCTCTCCCCGAGATACTGCAGCATTTAGCTGCTCATCTCATGTTCACTCATGTTTCCTGAACATGCCCCCTTCCCTGTGCAGCCAGAGTGACCTTTACAAACATGACACAGCCCTGAGGGCTCTGGGTAAAGCCCAAGGCCCTGACACAACCTGAGGACCCTTGGGTCCATGGTCTAGTGGACTGTAAGATCCTGGAGAACAGTCTTTGTCTGAAATTCCTTTGTATGTCCTGGGATCATCCAGCAAGTCACTGTTATATAAATAAATAAAGTTTTGAAAAATGAAAACATTGAGAAAATTATAAACTTTCACAACACGGTCTTAAACTACCAAACATTAAAGATGAACCACAGCATCCGAGCCTGCGGCTTCCCTGAGCGATGGTGGGGGCGGACCTCGGTGCAGTGGTCGGGCTACCTGCACTGACCAGAGGTCAGGGACCTGCCCGTCTTCACCTCCGAGTCCCTCACACCAGCCTGCATCACAGCAGCTTTCCCTTCTCATCATCACAGAGCCTGCCCATGTTTGCTGGAGGGAAAGTGTTCGTCGTCTGATTTCTAGCACCATGCATTGACTGGTGCTTTTTTTTCTTTAATGATTAATTGTGGGGGTTTTTAAGTTTTTTTTATTTGAGAGAGAGAAAGAGGAAAGGAAAGAGAGAGAGGGAAAATACATGCATACAAAGAGAGAGAGACAGAGACAGAGAGAGAATGACATTGATGTATGATCAGTTGCCTCCCATATGTGCCCAACCAGGGATTGAACCTGAAACCTAGGTATGTGCCCCGACCTGGAATCAAACCCACGACCTGCTGGTGCACAGCACAGTTCTCAACCAGCTGAGCCATCGCCAGGCAGCAGTGGCAGGCTTTATCTATTTCTTTGATTGGACAAGCTGCTAACATCTCTGAGTCTCAATGTGCCATTTTTAAAGAGGAATAAAAGTCATAAATATCTGCCTGGCTGGAGCGGCTCAGCTTGTTGGGCATCATCTTGTGCATGAAGAGTTGCTGGATCAATTCCCAGTCAGGGTGCATGCCTGGGCTTTGGGTTTGATCACCAGTTGGGGAGCTCTCGCTCTCTCTCTCTCTCTCTCTCTCTCTCTCTCTCTCTCTCCCCCTCTTTCCTTCCCCCCGACTCTAAGCATGTCCTTGGGTAAATATATTTTTTTAATGAAAAATACCTGATTAAGTTATTTTGAAGATTAAATGAGATGAAATATGTACTGGGTTTAACATCACATTTGTAAAGATTTTACGAATGTCAAGAATTATTAGATTTGTAAAAATTTATCTTTATTGTTGAAAGTGTTACAGATGTCTCCTTCTTTCCTGCCATTGACCCCATCCACCCTGCCCACACCTCCCCCCAACTCCCTGCCCCAGGCCTGTCTCACTGTTTCTGCATCTGTGGGTTTATGTATATAAGTTCTTTGGTTAATCTCTTCCCGGTTCCCCACCTCCACCCCCCACCTTCCTCTGAAATCCATCAGTGTGCTCCATGCTTCCCTGTCTCTGGATCTATTTTGTTCATCAGTTTATTTTTTATTAGATTGTTATGTTTTGTTTTAAAATAGAATTTGGGGTATCTATGAAAACATGAGCAAAATTGTCAGACTAAAAAAAGATAAATGAATGAGAAAACCAGAGTCAAGAAAGATAGTACCTCCAAGTATCCTACATTCAGTCAAGACACTTCTCACCTGTTTGGGCAAAAGAAAAATACTTGAGGATGCATACGAATTAAAAGATGTATCATCTATAAAAAAAAATAAATTAAAAAAAAGAAAGAAAAGAAAGATAGTACCTTACCCCCAGAGAATGAGGGTTTGAAGCGTTCTCACGTCAGACAGCAACTGGCCATTTATTCACTCATTCGTTCGCTGGGTCAGCGCTCCACTCTGAGCAGCCCTCCGGGGTGGCAGCGTGTATGGAGGAAAAGCGGCGTCCACGCTGCAGCAGGGATGCCCAGGCCAGAGATGCCCGACTAGTACCCTGTGGCAGGAACTGTGGGAGAAAGTGGAGTAGGGCCCCCTGGGGAGTAGCCCTCCAGACACACTGAGCTGGGTCTGCAGCTACTTCCCATCCTGAGCCCTGATTGTATCTGTTCACGTTCATGTTTCAGCACCCCCTGCGGCAAGAAGATGGCTAAGATTAACACCCAATACTCCCACCCCCACCCGCCCGGCCTGTGGGTGAGGACCGCAGACTGCGATCTGGACCACCTGGAGAACGGCCTGAGCAGGTAAGACAGGCTTTTTCCTTTAGGCTGGGAAGGCCTCCGGGCTGGTCTACGCTGTGGGAAGAATGCCTTCGCCCGTGGCCAGCTGCAGGTCAGAGGGCCGGGGCTCCTCACCGTGCTCCTCCAGCGTCATTGCCCACCTCACGGAAGCCGTCTGCTTCTTGTTTTAGAGATGTGGAGGAGTAAGGCTCAAACAGTGCATAACTTGAGAAAGTAACAAAATGAAGATTCCGATGCGGCAGATTCAGTTCTGCTGTAGAAAGGTCTCCAAACTGCCACACTTCTCCAGGTGGGCATCAAACACCTACCAGGCTCTGTGCACCAGCCACTGTCCTGGGCACTGGGCTGCCTGCCCTCATGACTGGGGGCAGGCCGGGCCCGGCCAGCAAAGCCATCAGCCCGTCGGCGTCAGCCCAACACACGCGGCTGCCATGGAACCTGGCTCTGGAGTTCCACTTCTGGCCCGGTTGCTAACTTACCAGGAGACTTGGGAAAGGGTGTTTAACCTTTCCGTGCCTCGGTTTCTTCAACTGCAAAACAGAGCAGCATTCTTTTCCAAGTTGCTGACATACTAGTGAGGAAATGAGACGGTGCCTATTTGGTGCGAGCGGGCTTATGTTTTTATGTTTCTTAAATTCCCAATAAATTGATTGAGTGGATCCATGAGAAACTTTACTTCCAACATTTATGTTATTTTTGTCCTACATATATAACACTGAAAACTTCTCCCTCCCATGATAACTGCATATTATCTGACTAGTGGCCTGGTGCATGGATTCATGCACATTGAAAGGAAAATAATTAGAAGAAATATTTTAATGTTTAATATTGGAATTTGTATTCCACATGGTCCATGTACCATAATTGATTTTACAATTTGAAAAAGTCAAGGACACTGGTCTTCATTCAGAATTTCTGCCTTAACTATATGGTCAATGTCGTGTTCCGTTCGTAATTTGGATTCACTATCTAATATTGTGAATATAGTAAGTGTGAGGCAGTCCATGTTTCTGAAATTCGATGACATGAATTTTAGCTGTAACTTTCCCAAGAAAAATGCATTTACATATATCATTCAAAAGAGCATTCAGCTTAATATTAAAAACCCTGGCTACCAACTCAGGTCTGTTTTCAACTTTTCGCCAGCGTTGTAAATTATCTACAATATCTGCCCTTTGGGGTTGCACATGACGGTTATGAATAAATCGGGCTTGCCATACTTCGCTACAATTGCCACAGCAGCCTGTTATCGCTGCTGCATATTTCTGGGACTTCCCTCACAAGACGATGGAGGTATCATTTTACCAATCGGCACATTGTCATGTTCAGATCTAGAGGTAAATCTAGTGGTTAATCCATCAAACCACTATGTTTTTCAACTCTCAACTTAGATTGGTTTGCTTTAATGAAATTTATCCAATTGGCCTCCATTTTTAAATATGAACCCACAATAAACTGTTGAGTTAATTTTCCTGCGTTTTAAACAGGATTGAACGTGTCTCCAGCACAGAGAGATGAAATCCATAACACTGCATCTGTGTGACTCATGTCCTTACTTTTTGTCTAGTATCATTGTCGATTACACTGTTGTCTCTGAGTCTTTTTTTTTTTTTTTTAATATATTTTATTGATTTTTTACAGAGAGGAAGGGAGAGAGATAGAGAGCTAGAAACGTCAATGAGAGAGAAACATCGACCAGCTGCCTCATGCACACCCCCCACCGGGGATGTGCCCGCAACTCAGGTACATGCCCTTGACCGGAATCGAACCCGGAACCCTTCAGTCCGCAGACCGACGCTCTACCACTGAGCCAAACCGGTTTCGGCTGTTGTCTCTGAGTCTTAATGCGATATCCATTCCCCAGCCTTTTCACCACGTGGAAAAAGGATAGGATAGGACCTTGCATCGAATGTAGGAAACAGGATATTTATTTGTTTCATTTTGGTGGCATTCAGATTATTAAAATGAGAATGCCACCCTCTCCTCTCTCCCCTGTTCCCTGGCCAGCACGATAGCTAACAGCACGGGTCAGACTGTTGACCTGAACAGTGGCCCATAACGGACCAGCCTCAGTTTCCACATCTGCACAATGGGCTGTACTTACCTCAGAGGCTGTGGTAACAAAACACAGCTCGGGCTCAGGTCCTGCCTGGAGTAAGTGCCTGTGACCACTCGGTCTCGGAAAGGAGTCCCCTCCTGTAGGCCTTCTCTGGTGCCCGGCTCTGCCCTCAGAGCCCAGCTGTTCCGACATCCGGGGCTCGCCCCTCCTGCCGGAGTCCCGGCACGTTTTCTCAGCCTGACCCCGAGCCTCGTGGAAAGACTGCATAGATTTCAAACGGAGAGAGAAAGAACGCTTCTTTCGTGAGGGCGCTGTGGTGCTTTTCTCCTAGAGGCAGGAGTGGGTCAGCACATGAGGTTTCCGGAGGGGCCCAGCATCACCGAGGACTGAGGCCCGGGGCCAGGCTGGGAGCGGAACCGTGGGCCAGGCCCTCCCCCACTCCCCGATCAGCCACAGACTGATTCCCTGTGATATCGTTTGGACACAGGACTGCGGCACATACACAAAAACGTGTTAAAGTTCCAAATCGCTCTCTTAGGGGAGGAAATGGCGTTTCAACAAAACACAGACCCTTGTCTTGAAATTCACATCCTTTGAGGAAGCTTTGGGAGAAATAATTGTGAGTGTGTGCCCTGACCCCTGCTTCATCTCCATCTCCGGGACACGGGGACCTGTGCTGAGCCCTGTGTCCGGAGCCCTTTGCTGGGCTCCGCCAGCAGGGGGAGACACCCAGCCCTCCCTGAGAGCCGGCCCCCGTTTTCACCCACGTGGAGACCCAGATTTCTGTTTCTTTTTCAAAATATTGGGGGTCATTTTCCTAGTGTATGGTTACAAGGAAGAATAAAGACACTTCACTTGAACAAAAAGAGTGAAGTGTATGCCCTGACAATACCAGAAATAAGAAGTCTTGAATTTTCTTTCCTAATTAGACCTATTTCGTTGACTCCATTGTGTGAGAGCATGTGTTGGAGATGATACAATAGGGAAAGACAGGAATCTGAAGCGGGGGGTTGCAGCGAGGACCCAGGCCCCCCCCAAGTCCAGCCCGATGCCCTGGGCAGCTCTGCCAGGTGAGCACCCCAGATGCGTGCGGCCACCGCCCTGCCTGCTGCCAGATGGAGGAGAAGGAAGATCAGGTCCCAGACTCTCCGCTCTGTTCTGAAAGGCCCCTCTGTTTACTCCCCTGGCCCCAGTCACTGGAGGACGGCGCCAGAGGCTGCACCCAGGGCAGAGTTAACCAGCACTCCCGGTCCGGGTGGGACCTCTGCCCCTCCCGCTGACGGGCAGCCTTAGCCTCAGAGGCGTCCACCTCTGAATGAATGAGCGGAGGAGAGGAGAGGAGGAGAGCAGCACGTGGGAAAGTGCCTTGTCTTTCAAAAGGAGCCGCTTGTGCCGCCCTCCTTGCTCTTGTTCTTGCTGATCGCCAAGTTCATGCGCTTCTTCCTGCCAAAGCGCCGTCGCCACCCGGGTCTGTGGTGGGGGGCAGCTGGCTTCCTGGCCAGATCTGCTCGCTTTGCAGAGACTGGGGCCCCATCCAGCCCGGGCCCCAGCGCCTCAGCCAGCCCCAGGCAGAACAAGGCCCGGCCCCCCCGGCTCTCTGGCCTCTGAATTTCCCTGGGAAGTTCTGATCATCAAAACCGTGTCCTTGGGACTCAAAATGTCACCTCATTCAATTCCTCTCCTCTCTTCCCATCTCCCCTCCCATCTCGGAGGAGTAAATGATCGGGTTCACTGTTTCAATGCTGCAAGCATTTAACAGACTAGAAGAAAGGCACGCAAGGTTAACGTGGATGGCACACGGCAGGCTAAGTAACTGCCCAGGTGGAGGATGAAGAAAACTGAGTTTATTTAAGGGAAGGGGTGGGGGGTGGGTCCCCAGAGGGAAGAGCTGAGTGGCACAGGGCCAAGGGGGACCCTGGGTGACTGGTGGCACCACAGGAGCTGGCAGTCCCTCCTTACACGCAGTCACGGGCGGGGAGCTCTTGTCGGTGGTGGGCTTGGGGCTGAGGTGGGCCTGGGAGGCGGGTGGATTGCAGGTGTGCGATCAGGTGCCTCAGGGCAGTGTCCACTCCGTGTGTGGCCTGACTCCTGGTGTCCGGTGAGCTTTTTGCTGTGATGGGAAGCTTACAAATGGCTGCAGGGTGGTTACTGCCCTACGGTCCTAACAGACATCATGATAGAAATTCAAGCACCGGGAACCAAGTGCAGAGCTGCCTGGGAAGAAAGGTCCCTCGGCCCCTTGAGCTTGCATCACAGGAGGCTCCCCATTCTTGGCGGCTGACTGCGAGTCTGCACTGGAGTCTGCGCACAACACTCAAATCACATGAAATCACCTTTCTCTTTCTTCCCATTGAAGACCAGGAAACACCCTCAGGGGGCTGAGCGACCAGCCCACAGAACGCCTGGTTGGGTGCTGGGCCAGGCCTCTCGCTCTGTCCCTCTCCTCCAAGTGGGCTCAGAGGGCCTGGCCACACACCGCACGGTCCCAGGCCCAGCGGCCGGCCAGCTCCGGACCCCGCGGGCTGCGCCTGCCTCCCTGGCCCCCCAGCTCTGACGTCATAGGCAGCGGCTCCCCCACTGCTGATCCAGGAAGCCAGGCTCACGGTGTCTCCCACGTGGTTAGCAGGCGCCAGATTCCTAGAAATGCTGGCCGACTGCCTGGTGTCAAGACTCCCTGCGGGGCCACTGGGGGGACAGAGCACCTCCATCTGCCAGGTGCATGCCGCGGCAGCACTCCGGACGCCAGCCCACTCCCACATGTGCCAGCTGCCAGGTCCGGGGCTGGGGAGTCAGACTCCGTGTCCCGTCTCCTCCTCCTGGAACTGCCCCGGAGCCTCGGAGCGCGCACGCCACCTTCGCAATGAACAGAACGTTGGAAGGGCAGCTGAGATGGAGCTTCCTACCGGCAGCAGCGCCCGCCGGGTCTCTGATTTGTATAAGGACGAGATGTGAGGGCCTCTTATGGGCACAGAGGCGGAATCCATCAAGTGGCTTGGGAACAGAGACCTGCCCAGTGCCGCAGGGTGGGTCAGCGCCGTGCCTCCATCACCTGCCGCAGGGCTCCTCCTCAGCCACGTCCGCCAGCTGCCGCTCTAATGGCACCACATGTGGAAACACAGAGGGCAGCCTCACGGGTGGACGCGAACAGGCTCTGAAATGGGATGCGGTCCCATTCAAATCTCAAATCTCAGCTTTGCCACTTGGCTGTGAGCCCTTGGGGAAGTTACTTAACCTCTCTGAACCTGGATTTCCTCTCTCATAGGGCTGTTCTGTAGATGAAATGATACAATGTGTGTGGCAGTCCCTATGTGCCACACGGTTGGTGTGCGTATCTGCGGATGAGATGGAGCTGGGAGGAAAGGCTGGTGTGATGCCGCTGTATGCCGAGGGTCCCCAACACGGAGTGACACAGATAAAGGGGAGGCCCCATACTTCCAACAGATAAATGCCCGTGCAGCAGCCATGCCACAGGATTTGGGTTTGGGCTGCTGGCGGGTGCTGGGAGCACCGAAACCACACGGACCACAGCCCACCAGGACTCTGGCTTGGGCTCCCGCCACAGCCGATGGTCTTGGGCTCCCTGCCGGTCCCGCAGGAACCTGCTCCCGGGAGGGTGCCCATGAGGGGAAGGGATTTAACCGGTGAGGACTGGCTAGGGGAGCCGGGGGTTCTAGCCTGGGGAACAGCACAGGTGTGAGAGCCGTCCCACACAGAAGGCGGCCATGGGCGAGGCAGGTGCCCGCCTGTCCCAGCGGAAGAAAGGAGTGCTGAGTGAGGGAAGCGGAGGAGGGGCTGTGCAGAGGGGGCCTGGACCGGACGGGGGATGGCAGTGAGCCCTCCCCACGTCCCTCTCCTCCTTGGAACGCAGGGGTGATGGGGAAGGAGGGGGCTGCGGCTCAGCATTCTGACTTCTCTCCCTCGGTGGGATAAACAGAGCCTTTCTCTGACATTAATTCTCATCACCACCTTGGTAGGAGGGCCGATTAGGTTGGGATAGGCCACGAGACAGAAGTAATCTGTCTTGCCCCGGCTCGTCCAGGCTTGCAGACTGGAGTGCAAACCCCTAGAGGCCAAGGCCAGGATGGCTCTTACTCAGGCTGGTCAGCGAAGCCCAGGAGGTGTTCAAAGAAAGGAAACATTCCCAGAGGCTCTGGTCTTCTTCCCACAGACACCGGAAGGCCCCCTGAAGGCGGCGGCCTGAGCTGGCCTAGGAGGTGGGATCCGTTAGCAGAGATGAGTGTGTGCTGACACCCCTGTTGTGGAATCGGTGCGGCTCTGGAGGCGGCGAGGGGCCGGCCCCTCCCGGGCTCTGATGGGACCGTGTGCTGCCCGCCCCTAGCTGAGCCTCGCGGCAGCTGGCCGCGGGCCGCTTTCCTGGGTCAGGCTTGCCCCTGGAGCAGGGTCTGGGCCGCGTGACCTGAAGATCGGCAGCTGTCCTCTTGGAGCGGGGCAGCTGGCCATCTCACCCTGAGCGTGTCCCAGGGGCGGGAGCTTGAAATCAGTTCAGCCCGCTGCACATGTGACTTCCTAGGACCGGCGCACCCGGCGAGGAGACACCCGCAGGACGGCAGCCAGGGATCGCCATGGAGACCGGAGGCCAGCCTGGACCCCGGCAGGGCGTCACTGCCCCCGGCCAGGAGCCTGCCAGGTAACTGACCGGTGGTCTCAGCCTCCTCCTCGGGAAGGGGAGCCTGAAGCAGGAGGAAATGGAGGGCGGGCTGGGCTGACGTTGGAGGAAAAAGAGGCAGGAGCAGAGTGGTCAGACGTCCATCGGCGAGCAGTTCTCTCTCGGATCCGGGGGTCTGAGCTCAGAAAAGTCTAAGAAAAGCTGCCTCTATCTGACTTGCTTTAATGAAAAGTTCTATGGAGAGACTCGGTCAGTTCTGGAATAATTCGGGGGAAAGCCGACCAGGGAGGGTTCAGGAGACCAGTGCCGGCAGCACGCCGGCCAGGTGCCCCCTGCGCACGGAGAGGGGCGGCGGCGGGTGCTCACCGGCACAGCATCTTCCTCAGAGCCGCGCCGAAGGTTAGCCGCCCCCCTCTGATGCCATCTGCGCTCTGGCTTCAGGAGCTGTGCTACCGGGAGGGTTCACTGACCCTTTTCCAGCCGCTCTGAGAGGCTGGCCCTGCGCAGGGGGCTGGGACGGGCGGGGCCCCACGCCTGGGCTCCTGCCTCCTTTCCCCAATTCTTAATCCTCACCTGAGGATGTGTATTGATGTTTAGAGAAAGAAAGGGGAGAGAGGGAGAGAGAAACATCGATGTGAAAGGGAAACGTGTGGGTTGCCCTGACCGAGGATGGAACCTGACACTTAGGTACCTGCCCTGACAGGAGTCGAACTCAAAACCTTCAGGTATACGGGATGATGCTCCCAACTGAGCCACCTGGCCAGGGCATCCTTGGTTTTAATAATACCATAGTTGCCCTGGCCGGTTTGGCTCAGTGGATAGAGTGTCAGCCTGCGGACTGAAAGGTCCCCGGTTCGATCCCTGTGAAGGGCATGTACCTTGGTTGCGGGCACATCCCCAGTGGGGGGAGGGGGTGCAGGAGGCAGCTGATGGATGTTTCTAACTCTCTATTCCTCTCCTTTCTTCTCTAAAAAATCAATAAAATATATTTTTAAAAAATAATGCCATAGTTATTTTACATAATCATCTCTTCTACAGTGTTTGCCTAAGACGATTACAAACATTTTAATTATTTATTCTTCATATTTTTCATTGTGGTGGACGTTACCAATATTTATTTCACTGTTCCATCTCAGCCATTTCAATGATTCCATATTTTTGTCTTACTGATGAAGGGGAGTGTCCTTAGGCTCTTTAATGTCTTGGAAGAGAAGCCTCCAAACCAGCCCAAATGAAAAGCCCTGGGGCAGGGGCGGGGTGGGCAAGCTGGGAGTGGAGGGGCTGGGGTGAGGAGGGGCTGGGGCGGGGAGGGACTGGGAGGGGAGGGGCTGGGGCAGGGAGGGGCTGGGGCGGGGTGGGCAGGCTGGGAGGGGAGGGGCTGGGGCAGGGTGAGCAGGCTGGGAGGGGCTGGGGCTGGGAGGGGCTGGGGCTGAGGCTGGGAGGGGCGGGGCGGGGAGGGGCTGGGGCGGGAGGGGCTGGGCTGGGTGCTGGTGGAAGGTGAGATACTGGCCCCCTCCTGGAAATGGAGCCCTGGGCCCCCCGGGGAGCTGGGGAGGGAGCACCTGTGGTCCAGTGGTGCTCCAGGTCTTGGTGCTTCTTGCTGCTTGTCTCCTGCCTCTGTCTCCGCTCACACATGGCAGGCACAGGCTGAAAATGGCCTGCAGCACATGATCGTGAGCTGAAACATCCAACCCCAGCTTGGAGTGGCTCTTAGTTCAGTGGCTTGAGTGACTGGTTCAGCTGTCCCTCTCTGAGCCTCTGTGGGGGGGGTGGGGGGAGTAGGAGGGGTGGCAGGGCCTCAGTTTCCCCTCCATGGCAGAGGGAAGACGTGAAAGGGGAGTGTCCAGAGAGACACGTAGGCTGGGAGGCACCTTGACAGAGGTCCACAGCAGCTGTAAGCATCTGCTTCTGAGACGTTTTCTTGCTTCAGTTTATTCCCTTAGCCAAAGGTCACAGAGTGCAATTAGGGACGATTTGTGACTTCACTCCAGGTTGCTCAGACTATTTTTAGTGGGGTCTGTGGTGTGCACCGTCGGTGCCAATTCCGGAAACCAGACGCCGAAATACAGAGCCGAGCCTCCCTTCCGTTCCGCCCTGCAAAGACGGGCGGCAGGAGCCGTCTCGGGGAGGCTGGAGCAAGGCCAGCTCCGGTCCCGTGGTCTCAGGGCCCGTGGCCCCGTGGGCTCTGGCTCCAGGAGAAGGCCACGGCCAGGAGCGACAGAATGCGTGCACAAGCCTGGGTTCTGTCAGAAACAATAATACAATTGTCTGAAGGGCGTGTTCCTTAAGCCTTGCTCCAAAGTCTTCACCATTTGGACATAGAATTGTTTACTCTCCCTGTGCTCTCCGCTCTGACAGAGTTCCACACGGGCAGCAGGAACAAGAACAGAAAGCCCGTGCCTTAGTGGAGCCAGGTGTTAGAAGGACAGGCCACCGTGAGACACGGCCCCTTCCCGAGGGCGCTGGGCTCTGGGCGCACAGAGGGGACGGGGGTGAACGGCCCACAGGGAGAGGCGCAGCCTGGGCCCGGGACCTGCAGGCGGCGAGCGAGATCCTCTCCCTCCTCCGTGCGCTGACTGCCGCCCGTGCCCTCCCCCCTTCCAGGCTGTGGCGCCTCATCGTCTCGCTGCGCATCTGGGCCTCCAGACACGCACACCACCGGGACCAGCGGCCGGACGCCTTCCTGGAGCGTTTCCACGGGGCCCAGCTCAAGGAGGTGTCCAGCCGAGAAGGCAACGCCCAGAGCCAGGGCGGCCAGGAGCCGGCGGACAGCGAGAGGAGGTGAGGAGCCAGCAGGAGGGGAGCACCGTGCCCTCCAGGAAGAAGGCTTCTGTCTTGGGAGAGCACCAGTCTCTGCCTGAGTCCAAGAGTTCTGCAGGAGAGAAAGCCTCCTGTGACCCCTGACCCCACCCTAGTGTCCCGGGAACTGGTGCTCTCAGAAACACAGGTGGGGGTGCTTGGCTCACCCATCTCTGTCCACCTCGGGGCCCTCCTAGGTGGCACTGTGACCCAGCCTCACACGCACCCACCGAGACCCGGAGCCTCGGGGAGAGCCTCGGTGGGACCCAGTTTTATGCAGAGGGGTGCATGCCTTTGTCTGGGAAGAAGGCCTGCAGGTTGGTGAGAATTTTCCAGGGGAACCACTCCTGTTTCAGATCAGGTTAAAAACCACAGGGAGGAGGAGCAACAGGAGGGGCGGGTAGGGTGGGGAGAGTTCACCTTTGGCAGGAGAAGGGGCTGAGGAACCAGGTCTGGCGTCACCTTGCCCGCCCACCGCCTCCTCTGCGCCCGCAGGCTCTTTGTCGACTTCCCAGTGTGGCCAGATGAGCGGAGAGCTGAGCGGGGACCCTCTCAGGGAACCGGGATCCATTATACCGGAGGCTGGGTGGATGAATTCGATGGTGCAGGATGGTAGCTGGTTAATAGGAAGGCTTCCCGGAGGGAGGAAGCCTGAACTTGAAGCAAAGTCCCACTGGCAAGGCCAGGTGCTGGCAGAGCAGGTCCTGGTGCAGGGTTTGGGCTGTGGGACCACCGGCTCAGAGACGTGAATACCCACGGAGCTGAGCTTTCGCTGCTTCCTGGGTGCTCCGGGCTTGGATGAATCCTCTGATGACCCTGTGTGAGGAGAGGGCGACCTGGGCAGGGCAAACAGGAATCCCCAGATGGCATTTGGCTGGATGGTCAGCATCGTGGAAGCGGGGCGCCGAGGGTCAGGCTGGGTGCTCCGGGCCGCTGGCCTCGGTCTCTAGGTCTCCCAAGGAGTCTGCAGACACCGCGAGCCAGCAGGCCACCCCCCAGCTCGGTGAGGCCACGCCAGCTTCCTGCACCAGCCGTGCGTGCCCCGTTGTGCCTGGTAGTGGACAAACTGGAGAGCATGCCTCTGACATGAAGTGCCATGTGGTCCAGTTTTAAACAGAAGTTTGCTTGGCTGCAAAACCAGTTCCACCTTCTGCCGGGCTCTCACAGAGGTCAGGGCGGGCGGGGCCGGAGGAGGGCGGGGTGGGAGCGCAGAGACTGAGCTCTGGGACAGCTCTGCCCACCGTCTCTGTTTGCCCCGCTAATGGGAAGTGACAGTTGTGACCGGTCCTGGAGTGGGTGCCCTCTGAGAGCCAGGCCTGTGCAGACAAGGGCAGCAGCTTGTCACCGCTGCTGTGACATCCACCCTGGTGTACCAGGCACTTGGCGGCCAGGGACCGAGGCCAGGGGCCACATCGGGCCCGTGGCTGCACCCTTCCTGCCGCTGTCACACGGCTAAGCGCTGTGAAATAGAGTCGGATCTGAGGCAGACGCTGGATGGATCGCATGTTTGATCGCATTTATCCAGAAGCCTCCCGCTAGCTAAGCAGTCACTGCCCTCCCCGCAAGGCTTCCATCACAGCCAACTAGTCACAACACAGTTTGGTCCCTGACACACACACACGTGCACACACACACCATTCCTCAAGCTGTGTGCAAGGCCGGGAGGGGGGAGAGGGCAGGAATAGCACCTGGGACCGGTCCCCGTGCGGTGCGGTGAGCTGAGTGCCGGTTCCCACGTTCGCTCCCTCGGCTCCTGCAGCGGCTGGCCCGGCCAGAAGCAGCGCCCCCACGGGCAGCCACTCGGAGGCGTGAGCATCTCTGCTCCCCGCTGAGCCCTCGCCTTTCCTTCACGAGATGCCCAGCTTTGCCTCCCCATTAAGTGTTCCTGCTCCCCCCCGCCCCCCGCACACTGGGCCACGCCGTTCGTTCTAGAATCCTGCTCCTCCCATTGGAACATCCTGCGTGGAGCGGGGAAGGACCCGTTCACTTTTGGGGCAGGTCATTTGGTCTCTTTGCCCCAGTTTCTAGTCTATAGAGCGGGGGTTGGATGGGACGGACATTTCAAGCTCAAAGAGCCCCCGTTGCTGTGTGTGTGGGTGTGAAGCCGGGCTCCTTGTGGGGCAACAAGTCATTCTCAGAAACCCCGCACCCCACTCTACCCCCTACTCCTGGTGCCAGTGACACGCTCTCATTCAGGCCGACTCAGCCCACTTTGGAGGCTGAAATCAGGGCAGCGGAAAGAGGAAATTTTTATTTATTTAGTTAGTTATTTGGTTAATTCTCACCCAAGGATATTTTCCCATTGATTTGTAGAGAGAGTATAAGGGAAGGGGAGAGACACAGACAGAGAAAAAATTATTGGTTGCCTCCTGAATGTGCCCCTGCCAGGGCCAGGATTTGACCCACAACTCAGGCACGTGCCCTTGACTGGAATTGAACCTGGGACCCTTTAGTCCCACCGACCGACGCTCTATCCACTGAGCCAAACCAGCTAGGGAAGAGGAGACTTAAATTTGTCCAGAGCATAGACTCTAGAAACGGTGACCCGCTGCCATTCCTTCTGTCACCAGATGCTGAGCTGGCAGATAGCTGTGATGTGTGATCCTGGCAAATGCCACTCAAGAGCCCAAGGAGAGCCTGTGCCTGTGTGCCCATGCATGTGTGTTAGCATGTGTGCATCGTTCTCCTGCCTTCTTCATGGAATGCCAGTTGGAGCGTAGGGAAAAGCCATCCTTAGCAGGAGAAGTGCCAAGTCCTTGACTTCCCGTTGAAGGAGAGATGGGTCAGGGCTTTTTCTTAGTTCCCTTTGTTCCTCTGGAGAACATTTTTCCATTTTCCTCCCTGAAACTCAGTTGCATTTTGTTTGCATAAATTTGGACATTGAATCCAGAAGCCCGAATGCCAACAATCAAGAAAAATGAAATTATTTCAGCTACAAAACAATAGCTATTGCACTATGTGCTTGATTTAAAGCACCTGATTTTTTTTTAATTGTCTAACATTTTACATATGTCTCCTTTTCCCCCAGTGGACCCCCTCCCCAATCCCTGCCCCAGTATCTGTGTCCATTGGTCATGCAATATGCATGCATGTAAGTCCTTTGGTTGCTCTCTAACCCCCTCCTCTGCCACTTGTCTCTAAATCAATCTATTCTTGTTCATCAAATTATGTTGATCATTATACCCCACATATGAGTGAGATCTTGTGATATTTACACCTTTGAAATCTGGGTTGCATCTTGCAGTCAGGGAAAGGCTCCGGGCGCTAGAAACCACTGACAGAGGCACTGGGGGTCTCTCGGCTCCTCCGTCCTGGGTGCCACGAGGCTGAGGGTGGGGGTGGATGGTGTTGGCTGCACTGAGCTCCTATAAATCTGTTCCGGGCTCGTACCCTGGGTCCAGCACTGCAGCCAAGGACCAAGGGACAGAATCGGGGACTGTGCCAAACTGGCCACCTAGAAACAACTCCTGTGCACACCCACCCCCATTCTTCCACCATTTCTGGCATTTCCTCTTAGTCCCCTGAGTTCTGACTCTCCCTCCCTGATCAAACTGTTCCAGCCAAAACCAGTATAGTTTTGCAGCTGTGTGAGGGTCTTTTGGGTCAGTGCTGGGTGGATGTGGGGGTGCAGCCGGATAGTGCTGGGTCTTTCAAAGGCCCTCAGCAGGTTGGTAGTCAGAGGAAAGGCCAAAATCCTGGATAAGGAAACTGAGCCTGGTGCAATGAAAAGCCTCAGCAAGGTTTAGCGTGCCCAATAAGCTGGTAGGAAGCGCCCTCTGCTGGTGTCTTGGTGTTAAGACCAGTGGCAGACAACTTGGTGGTGATGGTGGGGGGGGAGAGACAGAAATTGGGTGACTGTCCTTGCTCTTCTCATTTAATAAGCTAAGTAGATTTTATTCTTATTCTATGTATACATATATGCATTATCATAACTTGTAAAACACCTGAGCATATGCCTGCAGAGAAGTACACGTCATCATGTTATCAGGAATCCCATTATCAGGGAACATTCTTCTTAACATATTGGCAAAGACACCTCCCAGTTTTTCCTAGGTATAAAAATTGAATGGACAGATAGACAGATGTATCTAATATATCTAACAGGTACTGGTTAAGAGCATTGGCATCTCAGTTCAAAGCTTTGTGACCTTGGGTAAGTTACCTGGCCTCTCTGTGCATCAGTTTCCTGGCCTAAAAGACAGGTGTTGCAGTGCTGTCTGGCTTGCAGGTTTGGTGAAGACTAGAGGTGTTCGTTATGTAAAGTGCCTGGTCCATAGTAAGTGCTCCATAAATACCGACTACTGTGTTTCCCCGAAAATAAGACCTACTTACAGGTTTCCTTCTGAGTGAAATATAAGGCATCCCCTGAAAATAAGGCCCCCCTCTAGGCTCTGTCTCAGAATGCTATTGCTAAACATGAGAGATTTGGTCCACTGATTCTGAAAGAAATGGAGCCACAAGAAATTCACCAGGAAATTCAGGAATTGGATTGTTATGATGATGTTCCAGAAGGTGATGACATGATTGTCATTGAATAAATGAGTAAATTCTTTTTTTTTTTCATATTTTATTGATTTTTTTTTACATATTTTATTGATTTTTTTTACCCCCCTCCCTCCCTCCCACCCATCCCCTCCCTCCCCAGAGTTTTATGAACATTGGTTGTACTTATATGCATGTATACAAGTCCTTCGTTTGATCTATTATCTCCCCCAGATCTTCCTCCCCTCCCCACTGTAATTTGACAGTCTGCCTGTTGCTTTACTTTCTCTATCTCTGTCTCTTGGTTCATCAGTTCATAAAGAGCTTTATTGTCCACCAATGAGTGAGGTCATGTGGTATTTCTCTTTCATTGATTGGCTTATTTCACTCAGCATGATGTTCTCCAATTCCATCCAGGTTGCTGCAAATGATGAGAATTCCTTCTTTTTTATGGCAGCATAGTATTCCATTGTGTAGATGTACCAAAGTTTTTGGATCCAATCATCTGCTGACGGACACCTAGGCTGTTTCCAAATTCTGGCTATTGTAGATTGTGCTGCTATGAACATAGGGGTGCAAATATCCTTTTTGATTGGTGTTTCTAGTTTCTTGGGGTATATTCCTAGAAGTGGGATTACTGGGTCAAATGGGAGTTCCATTTTCAGTTTTTTGAGGAAACTCCACACTGTTCTCCACAGTGGTTGCACCAGTCTGCATTCCCACCAGCAGTGCACGAGGGTTCCTTTTTCTCCACAACCTCGCCAACACTTGTTGTTTGTTGATTTGTTGATGTTGGCCATTCTGACAAGTGTGAGGTGGTACCGCATTGTTGTTTTGATTTGCATCTCTCGGACAATTAGTGACTTTGAGCATGTTTTCATGTGCCTTTTGGCCTTCCTTCTGTCTTCTTTTGAAAATATTCTATTTAGGTCCATTGCCCGTTTTTTAATTGGATCATTCATCTTCCTTTTATTTATTTGTATAAGCTGTCTGTAGATGTTGGAGATTAAACCTTTATCAGTATGAGTAAATTCTTGATACTGTAGGATTCACAGTTTGTCTGGTTTGTGTTGACAACTACCGTACTACCGTACCGTATACAGGTAATAAATTTCCTTTATTTTCATTTAACAATAAATGTGTACTGTATTCTTCTTCATGGAAAAATAAGACATCCCCTGAAAATAAGACCTAGCGCATCTTTGGGAGCAAAAATTAATATAAGACACTGTCTTATTTTCGGGGAAGCAGGGTAGTATGTTAAGCAGAATACTTTCAGACTGCAGCTGGAGCCGGGCTGGGAGATGGGACCTCAGGCGGCAGGTCCACCTGGGCCAGGCCTGTGAGCACAGGCAGAGGCGCGCTGTCACTGGCCGGGCCCCTGCGGTCCCCACAGCACCCAGCCCTCCTGCTGCCCACCTTTCCTCGCCTCCCTGCCAAGGCTGATTGTGCTGCCAACACAGACGCGTGTAATTAGCATGGAGTCCGTGGGTACCCGATCCCAAGGCACCTGGAGACCTGAAGAAGCGGGTGCTGGGTGGGCCCAGGACAGCTGAGGGGACGCAGCCATCTGGGCAGGCAGGCGAACCAGCGTCGGTTCCTCAGGGACTGCGGAAGGATCAGACACTCATGAGTGATAGAGTCTTCGTGGGGGACTTTTTTCAGGGGGTTACTCAGGGAAGCTCTGAGTCTCTAAAAGCAGACAGCAACTTGAGGCCCTGACCCAGTAGCTCAGTTGGTGAGAGCGCTGTCCTGATCTGCAAGGCTGTGGGTTCTATCCCCTGTCAGAGCACATTCAAGAATCAGCCAATGAATGCATCAATACGTGAGGTCACAAATGGATGTCTCTCTCCCTCTCCCTCCCCCTCTCTCTTTCTCTCTCTCTAAAACAACAAAGGTAACCCACTGCCTCCCTTCCCCCACCTTGCTCCCCACCAGGTTTTCATTCGATGCCCAGATAGGTTTTGAGGACCAGCAGGCCACACCCTTCCCTTCAGAACAAAGGGCTGTCTGTGTGGTGACTGTGTCACCCTGACGTGTGGTTTGGGGTTACTTCCCAGCACCTCACGCCTCGCCTCAGCTGGTTGAGACGTCCCAGGGGCTCATGAAAAAGGTCGGAGATTGCACGTCACAGCTGAACCTCTGTGGACAGGTCGGTGGACACACGTAAGCTCACCGGCTGGTCTACCTCACACTTCGGGAATAATAACAACGACGATGGTGGTGATGGTGACGGTGAGGAGCTCAGTGACCTCCTTTCGGCCGGCGTGCTGGAAAGAGCCGCTCCCTGCCCTGGCCTCTGCTCCGTGTCCCCCGGCTCCCCTCTCGAGCGGTGGTGTGGGCGCTTAATGTCCCCTGCGCCCTCCAGTGACAAGGCAGGAAAGGAGAAGAGAAAGGGAGGAAGAGAGAAAGGAAAACTGCCTCAAACACAAGATAACTCTGGGAGAAGTGCTCCGAACAGGTTCAGTGGCTCTCGGAGCCGGCTGCGCCCGGGCCGGGGACCTGGGGCCCAGGGTGGCGCTGTCAGCCTCCGGGAGCCTGAGGACGTGGTCCCGGGAGGCCAGGCTCCTGAGTCCTGTGAGGAGCTGCCCACAGAGGGAGGCCTGGCCCAGCTCTGGGCTCGCGGGGGCCTCCTGGGGTGGAGCCTCAGGGGGGCAGTCAGGGGCCGCCCCTGTGAGCCTGTGCCCACCCCTCCCCAGGTATTCCATCTGCCACACAAGTGCCTCCCCTCGCCCGAGGCCTTCTCCTGGGCCCTGAAAACACTCAGTCCCAAACCCCAATCCTAACCCGGGCGACAGGGCTTGGGGCAGTCAGATCCCATGGTGAGAGGTGACCCTCACTGCGGGTCCCAGGAGGCAGGAAGGCCGTCTCCCCCGGGACAGACGGGCCAGCACCGGAGGCGCACGGGCCGGGAGGAGACACAGGGGCCGGAGAAGGAGTCCTCGCCACCTCGGCGAACTGGAATCCTCCCCGCATCCTGGGAGGGAAAGCAGAAAGCACCCTAAGCCAGTGGTCAGCAAACTCATTAGCTAATTATCAACAGCACAACGTTTGAAATGTCTTCCGAGAGCCGAAAACCGACTTCTGCGCACGGGCCACGAAGTTTCAACCGCACTGTACGTGTGCGCCCGCACGTGGCATTTTGTGGAAGAGCCACACTCAAGGGACCAAAGAGCTGCGAGTGGCTCGCGAGCCACAATTTGCCGGCCACGGCCCTACGCCGTCGCTGCTCTGCGGTGGCCACATTGCGCAGGTGATGCCGGGCTGGTGATTTGGACGGTGAGGCAGGACAGGCGCTGGGAACTGAGCCTTTGGAACAGCGCGCCACGCTCAGAGGCTAACTGGGCCAACACGAACGAGGCCTGCAGCCGCGGGCCGCGAGTTTCCACGCTTGCTCGGGAGCATCTGTGCAAGTGCCGTGAGCCAGGGAGAGCCTTCCCAGGGCACGTCCCTGGCCCCAAATCCCTCTCCGAGGGGAGCTGCCGAGCCCTGAGCAAGTGAATGCAGGGGGGCAGCCCCGCCGAGGGCTTGGGTGGCCGGGATCTGCATTCCCACAAAGCTCCCGGCAGCCCTGCGGCATCACCACGCTGGCCTTTCATTCCCAGCATCCGGCGGACACGGAGGATGCCCGGGCACGCGGGGATGGCACCACCGTGACATGAGGGGCAACTGGCTTCCCGGGAGCTGAGCTGGGAGAGCACCCCAATGTCTGCCTGCCTCTCCCCCCCCCCCCCCCCCCGTCCCATGTGAGCCCCAAGACTGACGTATCAGGGCTGGAACAGCCCCCTCTGTCGTTCTGCCCACAGGGGTCCTCGGTCCCTAAGCGAGGCCGGTGCCCAAGCCCCCACAGCTGTGGTCTCACTGCACGGCGCTGTCTGTGTGTCTGTTTCCAGAAGGAAGGACCCCGCTGTGGTGGACCCCTCCAGCAATGCGTACTACCGCTGGCTGAGCGTCATCGCCCTGCCCGTCTTCTACAACTGGTGCCTGCTGGTGTGCAGGTGGGTGGGGGACTGGTGTGCAGGTGGGGGGGCTGGTGTGTCTGCTGGTATGCAGGTGGGTGGGGGGCTGGTGTGCAGGTGGGTGGGGGGCTGGTGTGCAGGTGGGTGGGGGGCTGGCGTGCCTGCTGGTGTGCAGGCGGGGGGGCTGGTGTGACTGCTGGTGTGCAGGTGGGTGGGGGGCTGGTGTGCAGGTGGGCTGGTGTGCAGGTGGGTGGTGTGCCTGCTGGTGTGCAGGTGGGTGGGAGGCTGGAGTGCCTGCTGGTGTGTAGGTGGGTGGGGGGCTGGAGTGCCTGCTGGTGTGCAGGTGGGTGGGGGGGCTGGTGTGCCTGCTGGTGTGTAGGTGGGTGGGGGGCTGGAGTGCCTGCTTGTGTGCAGGTGGGGGAGCTGGTGTGCAGGTGGGTGGGGGGCTGGTGTTCAGGTGGGGGGGCTGGTGTGTCTGCTGGTGTGCAGGCGGGGGGGCTGGTGTGCCTGCTGGTGTGCAGGTGGGGGGGCTGGTGTGCAGGTGGGTGGGGGGCTGGTGTTCAGGTGGGGGGGCTGGTGTGTCTGCTGGTGTGCAGGCGGGGGGGCTGGTGTGCCTGCTGGTGTGCAGGTGGGGGGGCTGGTGTGCAGGTGGGTGGGGGGCTGGTGTGCAGGTGGGTGAGGGGCTGGTGTGTCTGCTGGTGTGCAGGTGGGGGGCTGGTGTGCAGGTGGGTCGGGGGCTGGTGTGCCTGCTGGTGTGCAGGTGGGTGGGGGGCTGATGTGCCTGCTGGTGTGCAGGTGGGTGGGGGGCTGGAGTGCCTGCTGGTGTGCAGGTGGGGGGGCTGGTGTGCAGGTGGGTGGGGGCTGGTGTGCAGGTGGGTGGGGGGCTGGTGTGCCTGCTGGTGTGCAGGTGGGTGGGGGGCTGGTGTGTCTGCTGGTGTGCAAGTGGAGGGCTGGTGTGCAGGTGGGTGGAGGGCTGGTGTGCAGGTGGGTGAGGGGCTGGTGTGCAGGTGGGTGGAGGGCTGGTGTGCAGGTGGGTGGAGGGCTGGTGTGCAGGTGGGTGAGGGGCTGGTGTGTCTGCTGGTGTGCAGGTGGGTGGGGGCTGGTGTGCCTGCTGGTGTGCAGGTGGGTGGGGGGCTGGTGTGCAGGTGGGGGGGCTGGTGTGTCTGCTGGTGTGCAGGTGGGTGGGGGGCTGGTGTTCAGGTGGGGGGGCTGGTGTGTCTGCTGGTGTGCAGGCGGGGGGGCTGGTGTGCCTGCTGGTGTGCAGGTGGGGGGGGGCTGGTGTGCCTGCTGGTGTGCAGGTGGGGGGGCTGGTGTGTCTGCTGGTGTGTAGGTGGGGGGGCTGGTGTGCCTGCTGGTGTGCAGGTGGGGGGGCTGGTGTGCAGGTGGGTGAGGGGCTGGTGTGTCTGCTGGTGTGCAGGTGGGGGGCTGGTGTGCAGGTGGGTGGGGGGCTGGTGTGCAGGTGGGTGAGGGGCTGGTGTGTCTGCTGGTGTGCAAGTGGGTGGGGGGGCTGGTGTGCTTGCTGGTGTGCAGGTGGGGGGGCTGGTGTGTCTGCTGGTGTGCAGGTGGGGGGGCTGGTGTGTCTGCTGGTGTGCAGGTGGGGGGGCTGGTGTGCAGGTGGGTGGGGGGCTGGTGTGCAGGTGAGGGGGCTGGTGTGTCTGCTGGTGTGCAGGTGGGTGGAGGGGCTGGTGTGCCTGCTGGTGTGCAGGTGGGTGGGGGGCTGGTGTGCCTGCTGGTGTGCAGGTGGGGGGGCTGGTGTGTCTGCCGGTGTGCAGGTGGGGGGGCTGGTGTGCAGGTGGGTGGGGGGCTGGTGTGCCTGCTGGTGTGCAGGTGGGTGGGGGGGCTGGTGTGTCTGCTGGTGTGCAGGTGGGGGGGCTGGTGTGCTTGCTGGTGTGCAGGTGGGGGGGCTGGTGTGCCTGCTGGTGTGCAGGTGGGGGGACTGGTGTGCCTGCTGGTGTGCAGGCGGGGGGGCTGGGTCTCCACCAGGGGGGCGGAGGGGGAGCCCGGGCTCCTCTGGCCAGGCAGCGGCCAGCGCCAGTGTCCCCATCAGCTGGCGAGGCGGCTCTGGGGGAGCACCCTGCAGGCTCTGAAGCACGTGGGGAGCTGTGCCGGGGTCACAGCACCTGGGAGCCTTGAGGGGGTTGATGAGAGGAAGATGAGAGCGAGCTGAGCTGCTCTGAGGCAGGGTGCTTTGAGGCAGGGTGTTTGGGGTAGGGTGCTCTGAGGACAGGGTGCTGTGAGGGCAGGGTGCTCTGGGGCAGGGTGCTCTGAGGGGAGGGTACTCTGGGGCAGGGTGCTTTGAGGCAGGGGGCTGTGAGGACAGAGTGCTCTGAGGCAGGGTGCTCTGGGACAGGGTGCTGTGAGGGCAGGGTGCTCTGAGGTAGGGTGTTCTGAGGGAAGGGTGCTGTGAGGACAGGATGCTCTGAGGCAGGGTGCTCTGGGGCAGGGTGCTCTGGGGCAGGGTGCTCTGAGGCAGGGTGCTCTGGAGCAGGGTGCTCTGAGGCAGGGTGCTCTGAGGCAGGGTGCTCTGGAGCAGGGTGCTCTGAGGCAGGGTGCTCTGTGGCAGGGTGCTCTGGGGCAGGGTGCTCTGAGGCAGGGTGCTCTGGAGCAGGGTGCTCTGAGGCAGGGTGCTCTGTGGCAGGGTGCTCTGGGGCAGGGTGCTCTGAGGCAGGGTGCTCTGTGGCAGGGTGCTCTGGGGCAGGGTGCTCTGAGGCAGGGTGCTCTGGGGCAGGGTGCTGTGAGGGGAGGGTACTCTGGGGCAGGGTGCTCTGAGGCAGGGTGCTCTGGGGCAGGGTGCTCTGGGGCAGGGTGCTCTGAGGCAGGGTCCTCTGGGGCAGGGTGCTCTGAGGCAGGGTGCTCTGAGGCAGGGTGCTCTGGGGCAGGTGCCTGCTCTCTGACTGGGCTGTGGGCGGTGGGCTGGGGGAGCTGCTCGCATGAGGCAGCAGGGCCTCGGGCTCCTGAGCAGCCTGCAGGGCTGGGGTGCGTCCTGGACCAGCACGTGCTTCGGGATGCAGGGTGGGCGGCGGCTTTTCTGGGACAAGCAGAGGCGCAGGGGCTTCTGTAAGGAAGCCGCAGAGAGGGAGGCAAGAGCAGCTCTCTCATAACCTGCAGAGAGAGGGGGACTCGGGGTCTCGCCTGGGAAGAGGCTGCTCCCAGGGCCGGGCCGGGGGCAGGGCAGCCTTTCCTGGGCGAGCCTGCCGGACAGAGCCTGGCTGCTGGCCCCGCGGGCACGCAGGGGGCCTGAGGAGAGGGCCGGCGTGTCGTCTCCCCTTCGGGGGCAGCAGGGTCTGGGCCTCTGAGCCAGGTACAGGGCAGGGACGCAGGGACAAGCGGCTGCATGTCTGAGTGACTGGCTTCGGGGCTTCCTGTTCAAGTCCAGAGACAAGAAGGCAGGGCGAAGGGGCCCCTGCCTGGGGGTGGGAGTCTGGGCGCCTGGAGGGTGAGCAGGGGCAGCTCCTCTTCTGGGGCAGGGACTCCGGGAAGGCGCTTCGCAGGCCTTCGGGGACAGAGCTAGTGATTTTCCGGGGTACACCGGGGGCTTGGGGCTTTCTAACCAACCTTCGGGAAATGATAGGGGGTAAGCTTCCACTCTCTGACAATGAGCAAGCGGCTGGGGGCTCTTCCCAGCAGGCTGCTGGGCAAGGACACGGGTGGGCCCTGCTATTCCAGGGCAGGAGGAGGCGCTGGGGAGGGAGGCGGGGGAGCTGTGGGCATTCCTGAGCAGCCTGCACGCAGGCGTCACTGTAGGAGATGCACAGGCTTTGGGGCTTCTCTGAGCACGTGGTGGGGGCGCGGGGCAGAGGTGAGGGCACACAGGGCTTGGGTCCGGAGCCAGCCTGCCAGGTGAGAGAGCAGGCGAGTCCGGCTCTCCTGGTGCGGGAGCCGCCTGCCCTGGCCACGCGGCAGGTGTGCAGAGCCCCGGGCTCTCTGAGGGTCAGGGGGCTTTGCTTTCAGGGTCATCTGAGCCAGGTGGTCTCCCCTCCTCTGAGGGAAGTTGGGGGGAAGCAGGGAGAACGGAGGGCCTCTCCCAGCCGCCGGGGAGAGAGGCAGGCTGCTGCTCTGTGGGGGCATTGTCAGGATGAGAAGCGGGGAACGTAAAGATGGAGAAAGTAGAAAGCATTTACTGGCTCGTTCCGTGGTTAATCCTCCAGAAATGCTTGTGTCTTTGGCCCTGGAGGGGGGTCCTCAGCCTGCTCCGGGCCCAGCAGCGAGGCCCAGAGGACCCGCCCGGCCGCGGGGCTCCCTGCTCGGAGCAAGCAGGGCCCGCACTGTGGGGTCAATCCCGGCTCTTCTGAGCCACGTGACCTCGGACAGAGGCTTCGGAGCCTGGTCCCTCCTCGGGGCGATGAGACTTCTGTCCGAGGTCACAGGCCCCGCAGACACCTCTCCTGTCGCCTGGGCAGGGCCTGCTTCGATGAGCTGCAGTCCGAGCACCTGGCGCTGTGGCTGGTCCTGGACTACGCGGCCGACATCCTCTACGGCCTGGACATGCTGGTGCGCGCCCGGACAGGTGAGTGCCCCCGCGGGCCCGGACAGGTGAGTGCCCCCCGCGGGCCCGGACAGGTGAGTGCCCCCGCGGGGCCCGGACAGGTGAGTGCCCCCCACAGACAGGCGAGTGCCCCCCACAGACAGGTGAGTGCCCCCGCGGGCCCGGACAGGTGAGTGCCCCCCGCGGGCCTGGACAGGCGAGTGCCCCCCACAGACAGGTGAGTGCCCCCCGCGGGCCCGGACAGGTGAGTGCCCCCCGCGGGCCTGGACAGGCGAGTGCCCCCCACAGACAGGTGAGTGCCCCCCGCGGGCCCGGACAGGTGAGTGCCCCCCGCGGGTCTGGACAGGTGAGTGCCCCCCATGGACAGGTGAGTGCCCCCGCGGGCCCGGACAGGTGAGTGCCCCCGCGGGCCCGGACAGGTGAGTGGCCCCCGCGGGCCCGGACAGGTGAGTGCCCCCGCGGGGCCTGGGCCCGGCCACAGGCCAGGTCAGGAAGCCCCAGGAGACCACACCATGTTCAGGGAGATCCAGGGCGGTAGGCTACCCCTGCCCCTGGAGGCCAGGCAGGTCTGGGGAGCCGGCAGCAGGGACAGGGGTGCTGCCTCACGCTCCCTCTGCTCCTTGGACAGAGCCCCAAGCAGGGGTCATGACCCCTGGGTTCCGGTCTTCTTGCCTCAGTGAGCCGGGTGACCCTGTGGAGGTTGAGCTGTCTTTCTGGGCCACAGTGCTTCCCACTGACACTGGAAATAGGGAGGTCACAACATCATCTCAGAGCCCAGCCAGCGCGGCGGAGGCAGGAGGCAGAGTCAGTCTCCGCTGGGGCGGCCGAGGACCAGCAGCTGCCGCCCGTGGCTGTCAGAGGAGCACTCGGCGTGGAGCACTGCCTGGAACAGGCCTTCCTGCGGTGCCTCTGGCTGAAGCCCCAGCCCTGCCTCTTTGGGCACCTTTTTCTGATTTGCACGAAGACATCAGGAAAGCTCGTGGAGGCCCTGCTGGTGACTTCCAAGATTTCTTAGCTAAAAACCGTGCCATAGCTGTCGATATAAACATGCCTGATCACAGCAACAAGCCACACAGCTCGGCAGTGCGCAGGGCGACCCCGCCACCTCCGTTCCCCAGAGAACTGCTGAGCTGGAGACGGCAGGCAGGACTCTCCATCGGCCAGAGACGCCGAGTGGCCCAGAGTCCACGGTCACTCCCCAGCAGCCCGCCTGCTTCCATCCACGTCAGAGCCCGGAGTCGTAACCGAAGTGCCCAATCACACAGCCTGATCCCGGGGGTCGGCCACTCCGCAGTCACTGAACCTAGCAAGACACAACTGCCCCTGGCGTGGCCCAGCTCCGCGGCTGGCTGTCCCTGTTTCACCAGTTCAGCAGCCCAGGGCACTCTGGCTCCAGCATGGCCCACCCTCCTGGTGCCCTGGTGCTGCCCTGGCAGCCTAAGGCTCAGCGAATCCAGGGGAGAGGAGGCAGGTGGGCAAGAAACCAATTGGCTGTGGATTATGTTCCAAAGGGGAGAAAAAAAAAACCCCACCAAACTCTTCAAAATGGAAAGAAAATGAAATAAGGAAGTCTCAAGGCTCAGGGAGTGTCATGTAATGGTCTAGGCCAAGCAAGTCAAGCCCAAAGGCTAACACGGGCCGAATAGACAAGGTTGAAGTGTATGTGGGCGGCAAAAACACAAAAGCTTCAATTTTCATAGAAACGTAGGTTTATCTCCATAGAGACATGCTGAATACAAAGGGCTGAAACAAATGAATCATCGTTAACATAAAATAATAGAACATTTTAATAAAATTAATATTTTTTCTTGAACATTAGCTTACCACACACTGAATAGCTGCACAAATTAATAAGGGTAACACAAACCCATTTTTCTTGTTCTCCGAAAGCGAAATATTTCCTGTTGTGCACACCAAACAAGTCAGTCCAACTCTAATGACGTGGCCAGGGGCTGCTAAAATATTTGCTGCTGGTATTAGTGGAGAGAAATGGTGAGCCGGCGGGTAAGGCACATAAGGGAAATGAATGCAACACGATTATAGTAACCAGTCATTAGAGAACGTTGTAGTTCGTTATTATAATAATAATGTATAATGGGATATTGTAAAAATTAAGTTAAAAATTTTTTATTAAAATGTTTCTTACATATCGTTATGTCAGCTGGGCCACAAAAATATTCCTCGTGGCTGCATGTGGCCCATGCTGCGAGTCTGACTGCTTGGACTAGGTTCTCAGTAAACACGAGTTAACCAAAGAATGAAGTAAAGGACGGGGTTAGGAAGCAGGATGTCCCTGACGCCCGGGGTCCAGGCCTGTCTGGCTCTCGGTCCCATGCTCCCAGGGCCCCTTGGCTGACGTCGTGTGCGGCCAGCAAGGAGAACACGCTTCCCTGGACAGAGTCTCCGGCAGGCAGCTCACGCCCACTGGTGACTGGTGACGCCAGCTGCATGGCCGTGACCTGTGCTTTTAACATTCTTATTCGTGTTTCAAACATGCCCCCAAGCAGAGCGAGCAGTGTTATGGGTCCTCAGGTACGCTCACCCAGCTTCAACAGCCGTCGACATTTTGCTAATCTTGTTTCCACCCCACCCCCCACCCCTTTCTTGGCTGGATTATTTTAAAGCAAATCTCAGACAGTAAACCTTATACCATGTATCTCATTTTCAAGGACTCCTTAGAAAATATAACTTCCATTGATGTTACAGAATTTAATAATCATTTCTTCCTATCTCTAATGCCCAAACCACAGTCAAATGGACCCAATTGATCTATAATTTTAATTGAGTAAAATGGATTAGGACATCATAGACTGGTAAATATCAGCACATTTCCTGTCGGTAAGTGTACCGCTTTTGTGGTGGTCTCTAACATTAGCGTACCACCATATCTTCTGTAGCCACAGTATGAAATACCTTTCTGTGGGCCCTGGTCAAAAACACAGCCTCTTTGGTGCCCAGGTGACCTCCGCCTCCTTCCCCTTAGGCTTCCTGGAGCAAGGCCTGATGGTCAGGGACCCCCGGAGGCTGTGGCGGCATTACACGGAGACCTTGCAGTTCAAGCTGGACGCGCTGTCCCTGGTGCCCACAGACCTGGCCTACTTCAAGCTGGGCGTCAACTGCCCCGAGCTGAGGTTCAACCGCCTGCTGAAGTTCGCCCGGCTCTTTGAGTTCTTTGACCGCACGGAGACGAGGACCAGCTACCCCAACGTGTTCCGGATCGGGAACTTGGTTCTGTACATCCTCGTCATCATCCACTGGAACGCCTGCATCTACTTCGCCATCTCCAAGTTCATCGGCTTCGGCACAGACTCTTGGGTCTACCCCAACATCTCGAACCCGGAGTACGGGCGCCTCTCCAGGAAGTACATTTACAGCCTCTACTGGTCCACCCTGACCCTCACCACCATCGGAGAGACCCCGCCCCCCGTGAAAGACGGGGAGTACCTCTTCGTCGTCGTCGACTTCCTGGTGGGCGTCCTGATCTTCGCCACCATCGTGGGCAACGTGGGCTCCATGATCTCCAACATGAACGCCTCCCGGACGGAGTTCCAGGCCAAGATCGACGCCATCAAACAGTACATGCAGCTCCGCAAGGTGACCAAGGACTTGGAGACGCGGGTCATCCGGTGGTTTGACTACCTGTGGGCCAACCGCAAGACGGTGGACGAGAGGGAGGTGCTCAAGAGCCTCCCGGACAAGCTGAAGGCCGAGATCGCCATCAACGTGCACCTGGACACCCTGAAGAAGGTGCGCATCTTCCAGGACTGCGAGGCGGGGCTGCTGGTGGAGCTGGTGCTGAAGCTGCGGCCTGCCGTGTTCAGCCCCGGCGACTACATCTGCAGGAAGGGCGACATCGGGAGGGAGATGTACATCATCAAGGAGGGCAGGCTGGCCGTGGTGGCCGACGACGGGCTCACCCAGTTCGTGGTCCTCGGCGACGGGAGCTACTTCGGGGAGATCAGCATCCTGAACATCAAGGGGAGCAAGTCGGGGAACCGCAGGACGGCCAACATCCGGAGCATCGGCTACTCCGACCTGTTCTGCCTTTCCAAGGACGACCTGATGGAGGCGCTCACCGAGTACCCCGACGCCAAGAAGGCCCTGGAGGAGAAGGGGCGGCAGATCCTGATGAAGGACAACCTGATCGACGAGGACCTGGCCAAGGCCGGGGCCGACCCCGAGGACATCGAGGAGAAGGTGGAGCACCTGGAGTCCTCCCTGGACACCCTGCAGACCAGGTTCGCGCGGCTCCTGGCCGAGTACGGCGCCAACCAGGTGGCCGTGAAGCAGCGCCTCAGCCACTTGGAGAGCCGGGTGCGGCTCTGCGGGCCCAGCCCTCAGCCTGAGGGCGCCGTGCTGGCACCGGAGACCAAACGGCAGTGAAGGCGGGGATTCAGGTCCACGAGACACTCTGAGGCCCAGGGCCAGGGCCTTGGCAGGCTGCAGCCCGGCTCCCCCCGCCCTTTGCAGGCAGAGCCTCGGCCTCCTCACCGGGAAACGGACGTGTTCCGTCAGCCACAGTCAGGAGGAGGTTCTGGCCAGGTCCGCGGGGAAGCCTGCGAGGGGCGGGGCCTTGTGGGGTGCCGGTGTCCCCAGGCCAAGCGTATGAAATCGTGGACACTGAACTCCCATTTTTCACCCCTGAGGAATTCTTAGACGTCTGACCTTCCCTTTGTTAGTCATGATCACCCCCCCACCCGCCCCTGCTGGCACCTGCCTCCAGCCTGTGTCTGAGGCAGAGGCTGAATGTGTCTGAGGCAGATTCTGGAACCTGGTACCTCCTCAGGGGCTCTTTGTGACCCTGGAAACCCAGGCCCTCGGTGGAGTTGTGACAAGCTTAGGATGAGGCAAGGCCACCCCATCTGAGGTCACTTCAAGTCGGCGACGCAGACCCGGACGCCCTGCCCTCCAGCCCCGGAGGAACGGGAGGCTGTTTCCCTGGAGAGAGAAAGAGCATCTCGGCTGGGGAGGGCGCCTCTCCCTCCGGCTCCCGGGGGGATTGGGGTGGCCTCGGGCCCCCTGCGGCTCTGGGAGGGCCTTCCGGGGTGGAGCTGGGGATGGGTCCCAGCCAGACACAGCCGACACCTGGGACTTTTGACAAGATGAGATCCTTAGGCCACACCTTCACAAGCTGCCCCTCATCCCAGGAACCCGCCCCCTCCCTCGGAATTACATCCAGAGGCAAAGCCCTTAGCTAGCCAAGAGCACAGAGTACAGAATGTAGCTCTTAAACCCAGCCCGTGGAATTCCATTAACGTTTTATGAGATATTTATGCATTTGGGCTCTGTGACTGTGAATTACAACCATAATGGTCCGTCCTGTGCTTAAACACCTTGGAAATTACCCGGAGAACTCCTCCCCCCATGCCGCCGAGCTGGACAGCAGCTTTTCCTGCCCCTCTCTTTAGTCTCCTCCCTCCCTCCCTCTCCCCCTCCATTCCCACCTCCCTCCCTCCCTCCCTCCCTCCCTCCCTCCCCACATCCCTCCCTTTCCTCCTTACCTCCTTCCCTCGCTCCCCTCCCTACCTCCCTCCTTCCCTTCTCACCTTAATTTCCTCCTCTCCTCCCTCCCTCCTCTCCTCCCCTCCTCCCTCCCTCCTCTCCTCCCCTCCCCCCTCCCTCCTCTCCTCCCCTCCTCCCTCCCTCCTCTCCTCCCCTCCTTCCTTCCTTCCTTCCTCTTCCTCCTCTTTCTGTTCCTCCTCTTTTTTCCCTTTTCTTCTCAGAAAAAATGTCCCATTTTGCTTTGGCAACTTTTGACCTTTTTTGTGGTCTGATATCCTATATAAGAAAGAGGTAATACGCAAATTAACCCTCATGCCCTCACAAGATGGCTGGCTGCCTACGACCAGGCCAGCAGGGGGTTAGTAGGGATGAGCAAATGACTAAACAGGCAGGCTGCGTGAAGTGACCAGGCTGGTCGTGGGGGGGGGGGTATGAGAGGCGACTAGGCTGGTGTGGGGGGGGGACAGTTGGGGGCAATTAGGATGGGGGGGGGGCATCAACCAGGCTGGCAGGGGAGGCAGTGAGGAGTGATTAGGTCAGAGGGGGCGCAGTTGAGGTCAACCAGGCCAGCAGGGGGGGCAGTTAGGGGCAAACAGGCTGGCAGGGGGAAGTTGGGGGTGATTAGATCAGAGGGGGGTGCAGTTGGAAGCAACCAGGCTGGCGGGGGGGGGGGGCAGTTAGGAATGACCAGGCCAGCAGGGGGAGCAGTTGGGGGCAACCAGGCCAGTGGGGGGGGAGGGGGGAAGTTAGGGGGAGACTAGGGTGGCAGAGGGGGGCAATTGGGGGTGACCAGGCCAGTAGGGGGGAAGTTAAGTTAGGGGTGATTAGGCTGGCAGAGGGGGCTGTGTGGGGTGACTAGACTGCCAGGGGGGGACAGTTAGGGGCAACCAGGCTGGTAGGGGGGGCAATTGGGGGTGATTACGCTGGTGGGGGCACAGTGAGGGGTTACCAGGCTGGTGGGGGGGGAAAGATGGGGACAATTAGGATGGTGGGGGGGGCAGTTGGGAGCAATTAGGTCAGAGGGGGATGCAGGTGAGGCAACCAGGATGGCAGGGAGGGTGTTAGGGGTGACCAGGCTGGCAAAGGGGGCAATTAGGAGCAACCAGGCAGGCAGGTGAACAATTAGGAGCCAGCAGTCCAGGATTGTGAGTGGGATAACCGACTGCCGGCAGTCAGACATCCCCCAAGGGGTCCCAGATTGGAGAGGGTGCAGGCTGGGCTGAGAGGGACCCCCCCCCCCCCCATGCACAAATTTTGTGCAGTAGGCCTCTAGTAATCCATATACCATATAACTGGGCCCTGATATAGTTCATAGAAAAGGTGCTGCATTTTCAAGTATGTATTTTGATGGGTCCCTTCTGGTTTTTATTATGAATCATTTAACCATTTTAGCTTTAAAAAAATAAATGTAAATGGTCTATTAAAGGAAGTTAAGATGCAAGGTCATATCATCAGCAAAATGCAACTGGCAATGTATTCTCAAAACGCATATATTTTAAAAGCCTTAACTATTAATTATGCCTCCATTTATATTTGCACAGGAAAAATAAAGACAGATTAAAAAAGTGTTGAATGATTCCTGCTTCCTATTTTTTTGAATTTTATCATAAGGGAAGATGCAACTGGGGTGTGTTGCCATGGCCACGGCCTGGCTACCCCGGAAAGAACGGCTGCAGCTGAGCAGGGGCCAGCACCCGCCCCAGAGGGCCATACGTAGCAGGAGCAGGTAAGAAGACGCTACCAAAGTGGCAGCATGTGTCAGTGAAGAAGCCAGAGCCTTCAGATGGACACAAAGTGTAAACCAGGAAGTACGCTAAATTTGCAGGCATCTTTGACAAGGCCGTCACGGGGCGTGCGGCTGTTTGGCCAGGCAGGAAGCTGGGAGCCTGGGGAAGCACCCCGGATTCCCCACTGCTTCTACCCAACGAGTCTGGGTAGCAAGTTAGAAAGTGGGAAGTCAGGTCCGCTCTTGTTCAAGTCCTAACCTGGCCACTCGGGCCAGTTATTTTAACGTAGGCCTCATCTCTCACCTGAAAAAGAGGGAGGACCCTGCCACAGAGTTGTTGTGAATAAACATGTTATTTTCCTAGGGGAAGAAATGAATTACAATTTCAGCAAACTAGCCTCCACCTGCCCGGCTGGTTGGGTGGTCTCCCAGGCATGGTGGCCACCACTGGAGGCAGCCGTCAGAACCCAGGCTGGGAGATGGCTTCTCATGGAGGTGTGCGTGTGTGTGTGTGTGTGTGTGTGTGTGTGTGTGTGTGTGTCAGGACAGAGAGGCCCTGGGACGGCAGGAAAGGGAGGACGTGGCCATGGACTGATGCAGGGTCCCTGGCGGAACCCTGGGGAGGTAAGAGGTGGTGGGACTCAGGTGAGGCCTAGAGCTCTGGCTTTGTGGAACCCAGCCTGGGGGAGAGTCCAGTACCTCCAGCCTGGAAAGGCCCAAGGCTGTTAGCCCTCAGGGAACCAGACGCAGTTGGACAAAGGGCATCTTGGCAGGAACCAGTAGGAAGAATGTCTGGAAATATTTGTAACACCAAGTGAGATGCCTGTTCCTCCCCTGCCGAAAGCATCGGCCCTCGGAGATCTGCTGCTCTGGCCCTCAAAGTTAAACAGGGCCAGGACCTAGTCCAGCTTTTCAGGCTGCCTCTGTCCACCTCAGACCCTTCTGCCACTATTTTCCCACATGGAAGCCAGGGCAGCTTCCTTCTTTGGTCTCAGGGCCATTAGTAATACCCGAGGGAGGGATGCAAACTGTGATGAATAAAATCCTATATAATAAAAGCCTAATATACTAAGTGTCCGGTCTACCAGTTGGCCATTCAACCAATCAAACGTAATATACTAATAAAATGCTAAGGCTGCTCAACCACTCGCTATGATGTGCACTGACCATCAGGGGGCAGATGCTCCAGTCATTAGGTTCGCTTGCTGCTGGGCTCTGGCCAATTAGGACTGAGCAAGATGGGCCAAACATGCCCTGAAGCCGTCCCTTTTTCCCTCCCTGGCTGGCCAACCTCCTGCATCTCTCCCAGGCCCTGATTGTGCACCAGTGGGGTCCCTTGGCCTAGCCTGTGCCCTCTTGCAGTTTGGGATCCCTCAAGGGGGGTCAGAGAGCCAGTTTTGGCCGGATTCCGAAGGCCAGGCCATTAGACCCCACTGATGCATGAATTCATGCACCAGGCCTCCAGCAGAGAGTAAAAGTGCTTTCCTGAAGCACAGAGCGAGAGTTTGTCCAGCAAAGATGAAGATGCTCATCCCTGTTACCTAGCAACCCTTCTTCTGGCTCCACATCATAGGAAAGCTCTCACCTCCATGCACCCAGAGACGGGTACAAATGTTTATTATTACAGTATTCTTTTTAATAGAAAAAAGGAATGACCTAAATGTATGAATCTAAGGACAAATTAGGATAAATATATAATACGTTAGGGATTTCACCAAGTAGAGTTTAATAGAGGGATGAATCATATGGGCGTGGAGGGTGGAAGGGCAGGGATGGAGCACTGAGGTTATCTGAGAGAGCAGCTGTGGGAGCAGCGGGGAGCCAGGGGCAGGGTGCTGAGAGGGACGTGCCTGGAGCTGGCCCTCGGACTTTGAGGGAGGGCTCCTACTGGTGCTGCTGGTAATTTAGGAACTCAGCGGAGTTTGGCAAAGATGGAAGTTTGGGCATTGTCTGAAGAGGGTGAGATGGGGCCTGGGAGTCCCCCTAAAAAAGTCCCTAAAGCAATCTGGAACCAACTGCCCCTGTGATGATTTTCCATCAGTGCTAGGGCTGCATAGCCAGGGCAGCACTGGACAGGAAAAGGAAAGTCCCTCTTCCCTCATGCTTCCTCTCAATCTTCCTCATAGAGAGTTCTAGAAAAGCAAGGACAGGGTGG